AGTAGGGATTTTGCACATTATCTTCTGCGTGAGAATTGATCGTAATAGATACGGATCTGAATAAGCGACTGGAACACGGCTGTTTGTCAAACGGCGTTCGCAATAACAATAAATATGTAAGGTCAGACCCCAACAAGGGGTTTGCTTTACGCATGGCCAGCTATGTATACGCACTGAGTAGAACAAAATACCAATAGGTTTGTATAGTAACCAATAGTCAGTACTAATTTGTACTGGAACCTGTAAATTTTTACTGGAAAAGTGTATGATAACCCAAAAAATTTGCAAGAGAGCACTAAATCGAGAGCGTAACAACACGGGAGAGCTGCAAATTCTTGCTAGTGAAATTTTTACTAGCAGAAATTAGCTAGCAGAAGAAGAAGAAGAATAAATGTCAAAAGCCGCCATTTGTTGAATTGGTTTAGCACAAACAAAAGTAAAATGAGTGGAAATCAAAATATTAATGATGTACTAGACTGTGTAAGTGCTTGTGTGTAAAGCAAAGAGTTTAAAACTGATTTATAAATAGTAAAATGTTTACAGTAGAATATCAAAAGGGGGCAAGAACTATTCACTTGCAAGTTTTTACTAGCTTTGCGTTCAGTAACTTTTTCTGCTAGTTTTCTCTTCTTAATTTTACGCTCTATTTTGCTTTTACGTTCTGGCTGCAATGTTTTACTGGAGAAGTTACTATACAAACCTAATGTTAAAGTTAAATACCCATGCATGTGGTTTTTAGAATAAAGAAATATGCAGATTTTTTGGACCACGGATCCCGTCGAATTTCCGGGACTATTACTAGTTTCCTTTATTATAAAAAACAAACCATTTTTAATGGCGCACAAAAAAAGCGAATATTATGTTTTCAGAAGGATATATTCAACCGAAAATTGCAAGAAAATACTTTTTCACAAAGACTTTATTTATAAAAATATAGCCCATTATCTAATAAAAACCATATAAGTCCAAAAACAAATTTTTTATTGGGAATTTCTAAGTATGCAGATTTATAGCCTATTAAATTCCAGATTAAGGAGCTGCAAATTTCAATTGGTTACGAAGTCGCATTGATTTTTTTTGCTGACAGGTTCACTCATAATAATAACACCATCCCCCAAAAAAAGTCATCAAAAATCAACGCGAATTCTTAGCCAAATTAGACTTTTACTTTCTTAGCTATAATTTAATTGGGTATAAAACTTCAAACTAGGATTATCTCAAAATTCTTGTTAAAAAGATTCTAGCAAAATTTTATAAAATTTTCTTAATTTTTCTATAAAGTTTGAAATTTCGACATATATGGTTTATGTAAGATAATGAGCTATATTTTTTTTAAAGTTAATAAACACTAAACGAACAAAATAAAAATAGTCAAAGCTGGTCAAAACGTCAACCCCCTATAATTTTTCACATGCTGCATGTATTCAATGTCGCAAACGGTCTTGCGCGCAAAGCAAAACTGCAGAGGCGCTGAATTTATGTATGTGTTCATGAATAAACTACACTCCGTTGCATAATTATAAATCCAGTACAACAGTCTTTGAAACAGCCGTCACAATCAAGGTAGGTAAAAACTTTCTTCTATGACTTTTGCATGGTAAGAGCTCTCTTATAATAGAGTGGTTAATTTTTTTATAATCATAACCTTATTTAAAAGATTTAAAAAAAAATCTAAAAATTACTTGTTGAAAAACTATAAATCCGAAAAAGGAAATCCCAATAACATGAGTAAAACATGCAAATATGTCCTTCTAATACCCTATTTGCGCTCCATTCACTTTAATTAACAAAAATATGTGCTTCCTCATACTATGACATAATGTCTTCGGTAAAGCAGCATCCAGTTTATGCCACTCTTGCAAAACCGCCAATTTAAGCCATATGACGTTTTCAAATTGGCGATTATCAGCATCAACTTTCTTTGCCAGTTTTTCCATTGGATTGTGGTCAAGAGAGCACAAGGGTCCGAATATTGTTAGTTTCCGTCACAATTTGCCAGAAGTTAACAGCAAAATGTTCAGATCCCGTTGGTCATCGAGAAATTTGGAGGGCCTTACAACGTTACTAGCACCTCGAGTATGGTGAAATTATCACGGCTCCGCGTCTTTTGCGACAAGTAATTTTTAGATGTTTTAAAATCTTTTAAATAAGGTTATGATTATAAAAAAATTAACCACTCTATTATAACAGAGCTCTTACCATGCAAAAGTAATAGAAGAAAGTTTTTACCAATCTTGATTGTGAAGGCTGTTTCAAAGACTATTGTACTGGATTTATAATTATGCAACGGAGTGTATGAGCTACTTAACTCATCTAGCGGTATACAATGAATCTCTCAAACAATTGCATAAAGAGAAGCAAGCCAGGCCAAGTGGAAGCGATCAGCGATTGTGAAAGATATTCATGCTCACTAGTTTATAAGCACGTCAAGCAATTGAGGGAGAGTAACATTTTTTAGTGAGAGCAAGTTTGAGTGAACAATCGGGTGATTCATGAGCATGGGAGCATATTCATAAGCTGAGCTATTCACTGCCGAACTCTAACCCTTACTCACCGCTAGTGAAAACAAGAGGCGCACTAGGTTATTATTGGGTTTACATCTGTGCTTAATAAGGCATCTTTTATTGCCTTATGTGACGTGTTATCAAAAGGAACTGAGCTTTCTAATTTTTTGCAGGTAGGCAAAGAATGCAGTCTCCGTAGATTTGCCTGTTGATAGGCAAACTGGTTTTTGTTTACAGGGCGTTTCCGTAGGTTGACTTCTCCAGTATTTCGCCATGCCTTTTAGGAGAATGGAGCTCAAGCTAAGTGGTTGGTAAGACGACGATAATTTCGGGCTTACCCATTTTTCGTAGAAACACGACCTTAACCTCAGACCATCTGCTAGGAATGTAACCCAGCAAGAGCGAAGCCCTATAGAGTTTAGAGAGGAGTATGTATCTAATGGGTCGATTATCGATAGCAATCGAACTTTAGTTGCATTTATAGTTGCCAAAACGATATTACAGATGGCAACTGGCAACTTTCAACTGACAACTGCAGTTGCTACACAGTGTGTATACAGGCGACTTCATTTTTGTGGTTGCTGGGAATGTTTTTGAAGCGTATTTAGGAGCGAAAATGGAAAAGTGTGTCATATATTTTACTTTTTAGTAATTTGAGCGATATTAACATTTTGCAATGCAGTTTGCTGTTACAGAATATGAGGGCTATTCGCGATGCGGTGCCTAAGAGCTGACAAATTTATGCAATTGCAAAAATATTCCATGGATTGTGAGCGACCTTTATTAAACTATCATGGTAAATCTTTTGCAAAACAATTTTTTTGCATCAGCTTTGGTTTTGTTTATGAATGCAATGCATAGCATTTTTATGCTATGGATTTTCGGTATTGCAAATTTGCCAAGCCATGACAAATGCAAATGCATGTATTTTGTTTGTGTATTGCAAATAATTTGCAATGCAATGATGCTAGGCTCATTGAGGCCGCGTTCGTGCACTTCTCTTACTCTTAAACAAATAATTCTGATGAACTTTACTGCTGTCTTTTCTTGGAGGCGTACTGCCTCTGGGAGGCTATTAATTTCCTCACAGTGGTTTCGCCAGCTAGCTAGTTTAGATTTCCTAAACTGATTGTTGTAGGAAGTTAGCGCAGGTTTATACGGATTCCAATCACCCGCAGTTTTTGCCCTATTGAATAGTTTTCTGGCCTGTTATCTCATTTGATCAAGCTTCTTACTCCACCAAGGCACATCTAGTTTGGATCTTACCTTTCCTTGGTGACAACTACTGTTGAAAGCTATTACAATATCAGAGTGAACCTTCTCAGCTTCATTATCTAGCTCCTGTTTAGTTATAATTGGGTTTTGGGGCTGTTTCCGCCCTCGTCTATGGTAAAGCGGAAGAGCTCCCAGTTGTTTTTCCTGGGATATCTCAGAACTACTTCCTGTTCGGAAGAGATCCATATAGAAATGCCCCGAGATACGCCAGTTTGTGACAGATGATGACATGTTTTGGTTGAATAGAGATAGGTCCACGACCTCCCCCTTAAAGCGTTTCTAAAAGTCGGTTCACTACCACGTTTAATAATATTTATATTATAACTACTAATAAACTCGAGGAGGTACTCACCCCTTTTGTTGGTATCTGTGCAACCCCAAACAGTGTTCTGCGAATCGGCGTCCAGCAGAGAATGCAGTGCTTTCCACTCTGGCGGCAGTGCTCAACAAAGTATAGACTTCTGCTGTCGGGGCCATCTCCTCTCTACCTGGAAAGTACCCTGAGGCAAGTACTGCCTCTTGTACATACCTTGGAGAGGGAATTTTGGCCCAAACTGCAACCACATTCCCCCATCATGAACTGTAAAAGAGGAAGAAACGTTAGTTTTTTGCTTAATAGCATCGCCACCCTTCGGCGAGGACTGGTGGCATTATGATAATACCATCATTGATGTTTAGACCTTTCACCTCGCCACGTAGTATCCAGGGTTCCTGGATGAAGGCTATACTTAGCCCTTAGTTAGCGAACCTCCTGCATGAAACTTTTGGCGCTGTTTTGGCATGAGGAGGATTCACTTAAAGGCATTTCAGATGCTTCGAGTTGGGGTTAGGCTTAGGGAGAGATGTCATTACTGGCAGTCTTTGCGGGTGCGAGCAGCCACCTTCTTCCTTAGCTGTCCTTGCACCCCCTTTGCTTTTGCGGCTTTCAATAGCCGCTTTGGAACTGCCATGCAATGGTGCCTTTATTATATTCCGAGGAGGCTCAATGGGTCTGACATTTTGTTGGGCTCTGTCTAGCACCTGCTGCCGGCAGAATGTTGCTGTTAGTCGCGTAGGCGATGACACGCTGCCTTGAGCTTTTGGCTGCTCAGGCGACGGCTTCGTCTTTTCCGGCTCCAGTGACTGCTGCTTCTGCACCTTTTCGTCTGTTGAGAATTTGTGACTAAGTAAATAAGTATTCTACGATTGTATCTATTATGTTGTGTCTGCAAATAAATGTAATCTAATTATTGCATAATTTTTAAAGGTTCACGTAGGCTGCATTCCACCAATGTGCGACTTCCTGACGGTCGTTGATTCAGACATCGTTCAAGTGGCTTTAAACGCACTTGAAAATATTCTGAAGGCCGGAGAAAAATTTGCTGCTCGTCCAAATCCATATGCAATGGCCATCGAAGAATGTGGAGGTAAGTATTTATGTACATACATATATCATATAATACATATCTACATGTTTGTAATATCTGAAAATGTAAGGGTCAGATCGAAAAATAGTCTCGCCCAACGTGTTCACCGACCTTGAAAACATATTGTGAGACATTAAAAAACTTAATTTCTTAATGGATTTCGTACACGGATTGAATGAAGAGCAATTTTAGGCATTTGAGGCGGAGGCACAAAACGTTCAGGCGAGACCTCTAAATCAGTAGTGGGCATTTCATATCACGCGTACAGCTCAACTGTACGCCTTTCACACGTATATGCCAACACATTATATTGCCGAACAAAAAAACGAAGTTCAATCAATGAATCAGTCTCGCATAAGCTGTTGCCGAGGCATGTTGCGTTGTTTGCACGCTGCACAGCGCGCAGCTTTTGTCGAAAATTAGTTGTTGTGCTTGCATTTTTTGTGAATTCCAGAATCGTGCGCGCACAACTTCCTCGTTTCAACTGAAGTAATCGACTGAATGGCCGAATCGCCCGCTCTCGGCAAAATATTTACACTAACACATGCTCAAAATGTGATAGTATTAGTGCGCCCATCACTGCTCTAAATGTTAGTATTTTTGCACCAAATTTACAGAGGATATTTTTTAGCCATAATGGAAGCTAAAGCTCAAGAGCGTCAAAAAACAGAACTTTAATTTATTTTACGGTCAGTCTATTGTACACATACAAGAGTGAACGGTTTCTCTAACTTGTGTTTCCGTTGGCTTCATTGCGACGGAAGTTTTAAGTAGGTCAAGGTGCAACGGAAAATGGCGCAGAATTTTTATAAAATTAAATTTAATGTTTAACTCTGCTTTTTGAAAGGTAATTATGTATTACTTTTGGTTATTTTTATAATATTGCCTCACTGTTTTTTATATTTTTTTCGGAATTTTGTATAGAGTATGTGCGTTTATGCGGTGACCGGTTGTTATCAAGGTGATTCACCAAGACAAAGTGCTTATTGATTTATCAATTAATTGAAATTTATTAATAGGTTTATCAAGGCACTGGCACCAGGACAATTTTACGTATTGTAACTCATTTCCACGACAGCCGGTTCTACGTACCGGAATGACTCGGATTTTACCCGACCAAGGGCTGTTGTTTCGGCGATCTAACCCCGTTTAGCGATCTAACACAACAATAGACACACAAACAAACACAATAGCACCCACACACCGCCGCCGGCAACTCCTTGTCCCTCCGACAATCTGCTCTGTTTGTCAGTCCAGAATATACCGTAACGTGACATCAGTCAAGTGCAACTCTTACCTCGGCTGGTGCCACTTTAGGGCGTGCTCAGGACTTCGCAACACGCGAGATTGGACGAGTGACAATGTGGGCCCCTGCTGTGCTGCCCCGTCGCATCCCTCCCCCGCGACGCCGCCAACCACCACCACAAGGCAGGACCCCTTTTGCAGCACGTACAGCAGGGGGCCGGCAGGCAACACAACTCTTTAACACCACACATCACAATCGGTCTCCCAAGGCACACAAAGGTGCTACAATTTAACCGTAACGGACTCCAGAGCAAGATCGAGGAGATAACTGTCTTTATGGGAAGGCATGGAATATTAATAGCTGCGGTCCAAGAGACGAAATTGCAAGGCAATTCAACCCTGTTGAATTGCGCCGGATACAACGTGCACCGTCGAGATCGCGAGCGAGATAATGGTGGAGGTTTAGCGTTCATCACGCACCACACCGTGCAGTATCGTCTCATTGAAGCAGACATCGACCGCAGGGATAGCATCCTAGAATGTCAGAGTATTGCTATCCGGTCAGTCGATGTTGAGTTCGAAATATTTTATGTATACATACCCCCTGTCACCAGCTGCCCGGCAGGATATCACCCTGAAATAGGTGCGCTACTCAGAGGTGAAAACCGTATGGTAGTTGGTGACTTTAACGCGCACCACGATCTTTGGCACTCAAGCCTGTCAAATGATCGTAGGGGAATACATCTGGCGGAGCAGATAGACAATTCGACATTCTGCACAATGAACGACGACGCACCCAAGGGGATTATGGGCAGCTGCTGCAGCTCGCCAGATCTAACAATTGTCAGCGCTGGTCTGATAAACAGCGTATCATGGCGACCTTATGCTGACTCTAGCATCAGACCATCTGCCCATAGTCATCTGGATTGATAAACCTGCCGACTTTGCTTCCGTGGATCACCGAACTTATCTCAACTTTTCCAAAGCTGACTGGAAAGGCTTCACGGATGTTACTGAGGGCGCCTTCACTGCACTACCCATACCAACCGACGTTCATGTAGGTGAACGTAAGTTCCGCAGGGTTGCCACCGTTGCTGCAGCTCGCTTCGTCCCATCAGGATTTATTAAGGATCCACGTCCGAATTATCCTACCGATGCGGCTGTTATAGCTGATGAGGGCGACAACCTTCGTCAGGCCGATCCCGGAAATCCCGGTATTAGGGATCTCAATTCGGAGATTCGGCAACTTGTGAACGTACATAACCGGAAGAAATGGGAAGAGCATTTGAAGACCTGCAACTTCGCCTCTGGTGTGAGCAAGCTTTGGTCAGCCGTGAGGTCGTTGTCCAACCCGACGAAGTGCGACGACAGAGTCGTGATAGACTTTGGTGACCACGCTTCGTCGGACCCGGATAGATGCGCGAGCTATTTTAGCCGGCAGTTCATTCTGCATCCTCCGGTGGATAAAGCCAAACGTCGAGTGACCAGAAGGCTGCACAAAATGCCAAAACCTAGTACGCCTCTTGTTTTCACCAGTGGTGAGGTAAGGGTAGCCATCGGGAAGGCGAAAGCCTCTAAAGCCATTGGACCCGACGGAGTATGCATGTTGATGCTGAAAAATTTGGGTCCTGCGGGAGTAGCGTACCTTACGGAGGTCCTCAACCTGTCTATGACCACTCGCGTCATTCCAGACATCTGGAAAATGGGGAGAGTGGTCCCACTGCTCAAACCGGAGAAACCAGCCAACAAAGGAGAGTCTTATCGCCCGATAACTCTCCTTCCCCCGGTAGCGAAGACACTCGAGGCCCTGCTGCTCCCGTACTTTACGAACCACCTGACCCCAGCGAAGCATCAGCATGGGTTCCGTAAAGTGCATAGCACAACAACAGCACTCAACGCCATAAACACTCAGATAACTCGTGGCCTAAACCGAAACCGCCCCTGTGAGAGAACTATTCTAGTAGCGTTGGACCTGTCCAAGGCGTTCGACACTGTCAGTCATTCAACGCTACTAGAAGATATAGAGGCCTCCTCACTCCCACAGGGACTCAGACGATGGTCGGCGAATTACCTGAGTGGTCGACACTCGTCAGTAATTTTCAGAGACAAAACTAGCAAGCCACGTAAAATTAAACAGGGGGTACCACAGGATGGTTTCCTGTCCCTGCTACTGTTTAATTATTACATCTCAAAGCCTCCTCAGCAACCAGAGGGTGTTAATATAGTTTCCTATGCTGACGACTGTTCGATGATGGCGTCTGGGAATGGAATTGATGACTTTTGCTCGAAAGTAAGCGGTTACCTCTCCGAACTTTCTCGCTTCTTCACTGCAAGGAGCCTTGCCCTATCCCCTTGGTTTATCAAACAACCTCTGGACCCGTCAACCTACCGACAGGCATTCACAGGGAATCAGTCTCAACTGCCAGATCGAAAAATGGTCTCGCCCAACGTGTTCACCAACCTTGAAAACATATTGTGAGACCTTAAAAAACTTAATTTCTTAATGGATTTCGTGCTCGGAAGCACTTGAGGCGGAGGCACAAAACGTTCAGGCGAGACCTCTAAATCAGTAGTGGGCATTTCATATCACGCGTACAGCTCAACTGTACGCCTTTCACACGTATATGCCCACACATTATATTGCCGAACAAAAAAAAACGAAGTTCAATCAATGAATCAGTCTCGCATAAGCTGTTGCCGAGGCATGTTGCGTTGTTTGCACGCTGCACAGCGCGCAGCTTTTGTCGAAAATTAGTTGTTGTGCTTGCATTTTTTTTGAATTCCAGAATCGTGCGCGTACAACCTCCTCGTTTCAACTGAAGTAATCGACTGAATGGCCGAATCGCCCGCTCTCGGCAAAATATTTACACTAACACACAGTGTTGCCGCGAAACATTTTTAGCGGTAGCTAAATTCAGGCTAAAAAAGGGCTAAAAAAGAGCTAAAAATCGTCGTTGTGGCTAAAAATAGTAGCTAAATTTTTTTACCTACATATAAATATATAAGTATACACGCAAACATTTTCTATAAGTAATGATATAGAAAAACAATGAACTCTGGAAAGAATTAATATTTCATTCAACAAAAAAAACTTGTTGTGTAACACATAAAGCATATTAAGGGCCGCCAACTTACCTATTTTAAAGTATAGTTAAATCGTTAATGGATAAGATAACGGCCCAGAAACGTAAAAAACATACATATACATATGTATGTACAGTTTAAAAATTAATTTCTTACATAAACAAAAAAATGAGATCACATTAAGAATACATAAGTACTAGAATCATATCTATATACAGTGTCGGACAATACTAAATAACTTAAATAATTTCAAACTATGCTTCGAAAAATATCCATTTGTAATAGAAATTTTTAAAATGTTATGTTATAATTTACAAAGAATTAAAATGTCGGTGCTTTATTATTGTCCGACGCTGTATGTATCAAACAAACAAACGAGTATTCATTTAATGAACTCATAGTAAAATAATTTAATCTATAAACATTTTTTTTAACACATTAAATATTTATATCTATACCAATACTATCATCGCTAAGCGATTCTTCGTCGTTACAATTTTGTTCATTTCTCATTAAGCTGACGATATCATCTGTAAAATCAAAATCATGACAACATTTCTGTACATTTTTTAAGCCATATCTTACAGTTAATAAAGCGTTTAACATTACAAAATTCATTTTATTTCTGTGCTTATTTTTAACGAAATTTATTATAGAAAACGTTTTTTCAA